GGCGATTACGTCGGTGTTCTCGAGTTAAAGGGAGGACCCAGTGTGGCCGGTATGAAAACAAGCCAAAACTTCTCATTCGTCGGTAAACACTTCGCATGCCTATAGGTCTTCCGTGTTCTGCAAACCATTCATTTGCAATGGACCTGGTAGTGGAGAAACGGTCCCTTAAGGCCAATAATCTTAGGCGGCGATCTTCACGGTCTGTTGTTCTACGGCGGCGTCCAGTGCCCCTTGCTCTTTGCATACGACCTTCTCGAAGCCATGCCTGACAACACCTAACCACAGTGTCTACACTTCTTTGCACTCTAAATGCAATTGCCCGAAAAGAAAGTCCAGCTTCCCGAAGTCCCACTATACGGCCCCTATCAAACTCACTAAGTTGACGAAATCGTACAGGTCTCCGTACACTAGGCATCGTAACCGATCGTAAAGGATGTCAAGAACCAAAATCCGCCAACGTTGATTCTTTAGTGCGGCTGAAATATTCATTTTTAGAGCGTTAGTGAATTAAAAAAAAGCAGTATAAAAACCGGAATGTCCAACTGATAAGGCTGAACATTTTTTCACTTGTTATTTACAGTAAGATAAATACATTCACCAACTTTTATTAAAATAAAACCATTTAAACTGGGTGTTCGGATTTATATGTCACTTAGTATATATATGTATATAAATTTTCAACTTTTCATATTTTTCCCTAAATCCGGAGCCCAATTCGGCAACACCGCCGGCAAGCACCTCTCATATATGACATATGCACAGAGGTCTACGTCATATGGCAGATAGATGGCGGTGGAAATAATGATGGAAAGAACAGCTAAGAATACAATGTTTCGTGAAATTTTTTTCATGAAAAGCGTGCTTCATCCACACCTTTTTTGTTTCTAAATAATGTATCAGACTACCCTCTAAAAGTTTTAAGAGAAAAAACAGTGAAATCGGAAGTTTTACAGGACTCAACAGCACCCAAAATAAGTAAAGAATATTTAAGGTATTTTCGAAAAACCTTTTCTTCTATTTTAACACCCTGTACCTTGTAAGCGAAAAATTTGAAGACCTATGTTTATACGAACTTTTTGATACATACTTAAGTAACATCCTGTATACTACAGTGAAGTGACTATAGCTCGATGGTAATGTTTTCCGATCGAGTTCGGTTGTTAAAACATGAAAAATAACATAGCGTCAACGTACTCACCGGTTCTAAAATTTACAACGATATCGACTAAAAATATAGTATCGGACAAACAGTTGAACGCGATCCAACGGGTGCTAAGATCGTCATTGAAGAAACTTATTGCCACTGGTAGTATTATCAAGTTGGCGACGAGCAGCAGCAACATACACAAGTCCCAGTAGAATCTGTAACAAAATGATGTGTCTTAGTGTCGCAACAATCCTACTACCTGCAGAAACAATAAAGGTCATAGCCAGTGCTAATATTTGATTCGACAAGAGATCAAACTTAGTTTTTATCGATTGATTGAAAATTTTATGAGCTTTACAGAAATATATAACACATATGTGTTTTAACTAATAAGTCGAAAATTCATAATTTCACAAAATGTTCATATACCTACGTATTATCATTGTATGTACTATTAATATAGTGTTAGTAGGCCGCGACTTTGTTTCACAGCTTATCCTTTAACCACAAATGCACTGTTACAAAAGAGATTGATTTCTCAAAAAAAAAATGTAATAAAAGTCCTACAGAAATCGAGATAATAAAATCGTACAGCTTAAGCCGCTCGCGAATTTTGCCCTGCTTCTGCGTACGCTAAAACAATGTCCACTAACTCCTCATTAGAGTCCTATTTTTATTAATAAATACCTAAAAACGTAAACTCGCAAAATTCGTAGTTATTTGAATTCAAAAAAATGAACCGTTCTTCATTCAGATCACACACGATACAGATTAAACCTTATTTACACGTTCTTATCAGTATGAAAAAACAAAAGTACCTCGAATTTTGTTTTCGTCAGATGATTGATACAACATTTGCAACAATAAATTATTACTGCGTGTTCTAATATCACGACGATGAACGCAAAATACAGATATTTGTTTTTGAATTTATTATTCAAACTCAGGTTTATAACTTAATCGCTGTAGGATTTTTAATATATTTTTTCTTGCCAAATCAACTTATTCCGTAACAGTGCATATGTGGAAAAAATTGTCGGATAAGTGTGAAACAGCCTGTATACATATTATTTACAGTCACATACATTTTCAAAAAGTTGAATCTAAGTACACTGTGGACAGTTTTATACACTAACGGATAATAAAACTAAACAAAACTTGCAATACTTCATTTAATATTGACATGAAATTAACCTCTGAATTAACCCCTTAATAGACATTTGCGTTAAAGGAACTGCTCAAAATGGTTGCCGTTTAGACATAGGGTGGTTATGCAGTAAATCTCATTCTTCGAATGACCCCACAGAAAAAATCTAGGACGGATAGGTCGGGTGACCGTGTAGGCCATCCATTAGGACCATGTTTTGCAGAAAATTATTCTATGAAAAAGTTTGAACAATTCTGGCATTGTGGGTGGGTGCATCATCCTGTTGGGAGCGTATCATGTTAAGATAAGCTAAAGGGATATTATTTAGTAACACAGGCATATCTTTTAAAATTTCAAGATATATGTCTCCTGAAAGAATCCTGAATTCTGTATTGTACTTGTCGCCCCAAAATGTAACAAGCGACGCTAAATCCGAATCGACCCTGTCGCTCTCTTCCGAACATCACATGGTGATTTTCTTGGGGCGAATGCCTAGTATACTAAGTGACATATAAATCCGAACTCCCAGTTTAAATGGTTTTATTTTAATAAAATTTTGTATAAGTACTTAATGAAGCATAAGTAAATGATAAAAATTTCAAAATGATTGCACTGCTTTAAAGCCCTTTGACCTTTAATAATGTGTAGATGCACTCTGATGTGCTACGCATTCTCCAACGCGCCCAGGCATGCTTTTGATCAGGTGGTCAATGTCCTCCTGTGGTATCTCATTCCATGCAACCACCAACTCCTCTCGAAGTGTTTCTAGAGTCTGAGAAGGACGTTGCAAATTGAGCAATCTCCTACCCATCATATCCCACACGTGCTCAATTGGGGATAAGTCGGGAGATCCTGGTGGCCATGGTAACAATGTGACATCATTATGTTGAAAGAAGTCTATTGTGACTCTTGCAACATGTGGTCGGGCATTATCTTGTTGGAAAGTTGGATCTACCATGGTGTCAAGATAGGGTAAAAGATGGGGTTCTAGAACTTCGTGGATATAACGCTGCGCGATCATGTTACCTCTGATGAAGATTAAAGGTGACCTGGAACCATAAGCTATATCACCCCAAACCATAACTCCAACAGTGTGATGAACATGTCTTTCAACAAAAAACTGTGGATTCCTCCTTTCACCACGTCGCCTTCTAACCCTGGCACGACCATCGTGCATGCCTAAACAAAATCGAGACTCGTCACTAAAGACAATACTGTTCCATTCCTGATCCCAGAGTGACCGTGGTCTGCACCACTCAAGGCGGTTACGTCGGTGTTCTCGAGTTAAAGGGAGGACCCAGTGTGGCCGGTATGAAAACAAGCCAAAACTTCTCATTCGTCGGTAAACACTTCGCATGCCAATAGGTCTTCCGTGTTCTGCAAACCATTCATTTGCAATGGACCTGGTAGTGGAGAAACGGTCCCTTAAGTCCAATAATCTTAGGCGGCGATCTTCACGGTCTGTTGTTCTACGGCGGCGTCCAATGCCCCTTGCTCTTTGCGTACGGCCTTCTCGAAGCCATGCCTGACAACAACTACAATTCTTTTCACTCTAACTGCAATTGCCCGAAAAGAAAGTCCAGCTTTCCGAAGTCCCACTATACGGCCCCTATCAAGCTCACTAAGTTGACGAAATCGTACAGGTCTCCGTACTCTAGGCATCGTAACCGATCGTAAAGGATGTCAAGAACCAAAATCCGCCAACGTTGATTCTTTACTGCGGCTGAAATATTCATTTTTAGAGCGTTAGTGAATTAAAAAAAAGCAGTATAAAAACCGGAATGTCCAACTGATAAGGCTGCAAATTTTTTCACTTGTTATTTATAGTAAGATAAATACATTCACCAACTTTTATTAAAATAAAACCATTTAAACTGGGTGTTCGGATTTATATGTCACTTAGTATATTTTGTCTATTAAAACTACCTATACTCGAAAAGTACGCCTCGTCGGACCATATTATTGATCTGGCAAAGTTGTTATTGATAAGAATTTGTTCCAAATACCAGTTGGAAAATAGTTAACGTTATTCTGCATCACCAGGATGCAAATGATGTACGATTTCAATCTTGTATGTTCCAAATTTATATTTGGTCAATATTTTTTGAGCCCGAGTCTTCGGAACATCAACTTGCTGATCTAGAACTCTACATGATTGTGAGGTATCGCGATTTTCCTTATTCTACATTTTCTACTTAATCTTTCTTAATTTGGGAAAACATTAAAAGACCAGGATGCCTTTTTTCTGGATACCTTTAAATTAAAATGATATTGAAAAAAAACACAAAAGGTGAATAAATATTTAAACTAACACACACAAGTGTAGCTGGGAAACTTCACAGGAGTTTTCCTTGCTTTGTATAAAGCAGTTTAACATTTCATATTTTCCAACATGCTGATAATTTCCTCGAGAAAACATAAAACTTTACATTGTTCTACAATCACGACGTACTACATACAATACATTATGAATTTTAGATTTATTATATATTAATGTCAACAAATCGACAAAAATATATATGGTGTCCCATTGCAAAAAACCTAAGTTTGATTTATAGCTAAGAATTGAAATCTGACTACGGCACTGGTTTCTACGTGAAAAATTGTACAAGAGCCAGTTTTTTGCTTTGCGATATAACTGAGATACGAGGGGGGGTCCCAAAACGCAATATTTTCAATTTCACACTATATCTCGGGAACAATCAGGCTGCCTATGAGCATTTTTTTCACACCATCTTTCTTTGCACAAAAAGACATAGCAGTATTGAGAAAACCGCAACTCTCAATCTTCACCAGTAAATACCCCGTAATATCATCGAAAATGGGACACCCTATACACATATGAACTGTTCTGCATACCGATCGCGTTCAGTTAAAAACGAGTCGACAAACCCGTCTGACCGCATAAGCAAAGCAACGTGCTATAACTACCGATTCTCGTATATTTAGAACATTAGATCTCGACTCTCAGTCTCAGTGTCCAACATGGTGTATGATATCAAAGGAAAAGTCGCTCTTATTACTGGGGGAGCAGCTGGTATCGGGCTTGCCTACGGGGAGGAGCTGCTCAAAAATGGAATTGAGGTATTTGCATTTGAAACAGTATAAATACGAGCCCCTTCCCACTTCAGTTGGCCCACCAAAAGATACCCTTATAAACTAAACAAGACGAAACTACACGTATTTACTTCTAAAACAATTTATTTTATCAAAAACATTTTAGATACACTCTAGTCGTAAAAAATACATATTTGAAATCACTTAGACCTATAACTGATAGAACATCTTTATTTTTTATTACGGCTGAAATTCTTTGGGGCAAAGTGTTAACCAAGTTTTGGCAAAAATTTGGTGTAAAACAATCCCATATTTCTTGAAGATTTTGTCTCAGTTCGGTGATTGTACGAGCAGGATGTTGTCGTAGAACCTTTTTCATCTTGTGCCACAAAGTTTCAATAGGTGACAGATCTGGACTGCTAGAAACCCATTTCAAAAGTGGTACATTATTTTCTTCCATCCATTTTATAGCCTTTTTTGAGGTATGGCACGCTGCACCATCTTGCTGAAACACAAACCTTGGCCGGATGTCAAACATTCTTCCATCACTTGTAAAAGCGATTCTTATAAAATTGCCAAATATTTGTTTGCAGTCACATTTCCATCAATAAAATGAAGTTCTCCTACTCCTTTTGATGACATACTGCCCCAGACCATAATGGATGCTGGAAATTTCACTTTTCTCTCCAGACAGTCAACATGGAATGCTTCATTTTTTTTGCGAATAATTCTACTGCGACTGTCACCAACACAAACTTCGAATCAGGCCTCATCACTCCATTGTATTGCACTCCATTGTTGAGGTGTCCATTGTCGATGTTTTTTAGCCCATCTAAGCCGATTTTTCTTTTGCAGTGGAGTTAATAGTGGCTTTTCTTTGGCCTATAAACAAGTTGTGCAACTTTAGGGTTTTTACTTCACTTGTTTTATAAGAAAACTTACCTTGCAAGTGCTAGATCCCAGTTTGTGGGCCTCTCTTTGAGTTGTGGACCTAGAAATTTTCCTTCCAACAGCGTCACTCCACAGAGCACTTAATTGTGAGTTTGATTTCCCAGAATTAAGAAGTTTAATTATCAGTAACAGAACTTTCTCACTAATAACCTTTCCTCTACCCATTTTGAAAACCTGAACCACCCAAAACCATTTTAAACGTATTCTGACACCTGTGATTAATAAAAACAATTATGATGGCTTTTATTTTTCACAGCCACCTATGCGTTATAGACTTATTTTGCATTGAAATGAAAATAGGTTGATATGCTGTAATTGCAACGTGTTTTATTTTTATGCTGCAAATTTGATTAGGGAGTGATAAAGTTGGTGTTTTTTACTATATATCATCAAAATATTCATAGTTAATATTTTAAACCTATAACACCCTTCTACATTTTTATTATTTGTGTTTGATAGGAAAAAAACTAAGATTTCAATAGTTGGGCCAACTGAAGTGGGAAGGGGCTCGTAATCTTATAATAGGGTTTGGTTGACAGATATTAATACTCTGCACTGAGAAAACGTGGTAAATTAAACTGAAAAAATTTCATTACTCCAAGCAACTATATTATTCGGCTTGAACCAGTTTAATTGAAAGTAATATACTATCAAACTGATTTGTTTGAAAATAGCAAACCATGTACCTGTTTTAATAAACAGTTTAATTATTTTAGGAAACTTAGCTTATGTAGAAAAGAGTTTAATACAATTAAACATTTGAGGACCTAAAAATGTCAGTAAATAAATACATTAATGTTTTCCAAATTCCAAGTATTGCAACAAATATAGCACAAAACGTCGATGAACTTAATTTATGTACACAAACTTCTGAAGCAAAATTTCGAATTTTTAATATGAACATAAGGAGGATAAAACACAACATTGATTACTTAAAAATACTACTCGACCAAATATGGTACAATTTTGATCTAATAGTTTTAACTGAAACGTGCAAGTGGCTGATATTTCTTGCTTCAATCAGCAGGGATATGACACGCTGTATAACTTTGGCACTTATAACCAAAACGATGGGGTGATAGTTTTTGTAAGAAATAAACTGCAATATAATCATGATACATTCACTTTCACCGATGGAATCAAAATTTTAAACATAATGATCCAAATTAACCATAACAAAATTGAGGTATCTGCAATTTATCGTCCGCCATGTTCAGAACCCCACGAGTTTTTAAAGAATATCGAATTTTTTTTCAAAATCAAAATAAAGTTCATTTAAAGCAACATATTTTCTTGGGAGATGTCAATATAAATATTTTGGACGATGATCCCATCACAAATGAATACTTGAATATCCTATCAAGTAACGGATTTCTGTCCTATATAAACCTACCTACAAGGTCCATCAGTGGCACATGTATAGATCACTGCTTTGTGAAAGACCTATCCAACAAAATTACTTGTATACCAATAATCCTAGAAAGCGATATTGCTGACCACTTCTCCACTATTTTACTGATATCTTCAAATGAAAAACATTCTAACATCCCTACCGTTAGTAACAACCAGGAAAATTACAAATGTTTTGTCGACAATTCAAAACTAATATCAAATGTCAAACAAGAACCCTGGGAACAATTATACTCTATAAATAATATAGACAAAGCAACGGGACTGTTCATAGAGAAAATAAAAAAACTAATAGATATTAGTACCAATAAAGTAATAATAATTAGTCACAAGGAGAAAAGCAGAAATGCCTGGATTACCAAAGGATTAATAACATCGGCAATAGAAAAAGAAAGACTATATAATGTAATGAAACTAACGCCAACTACAGAGAATACCGACTGCTACAACCAATATAAAAATAAATTTATAGAGCTTGTAAGGCAAACCAAACGAAAACATTACCTAAATAAATTGAATAATAACTTAAATGTTCCTAAGCGGCTTTGGACAACTATTGATGAGATTACTGGAAAAACAAAAGTTAAAGAGTGTGTCACTGAGTTAAATACAACATCGGGAACAGTATTAAAAAATACTCAACAGATATGCGATGAATTTGTACAATTCTTTACTGACATAGGCGGAAATTTAGCAAGTAATATACAAGCAAATGTACAAAATACTCAGCCTCCAAAAAGAACTTTGAACTCATTTATTTTGGATAAAGTCGAGCAATGTGAAGTATACACCACTATTATGTCCTCAAAAAATCGGAAAAGTCCTGGGTTCGATGGTATTAAAAGCGAGCATTTGAAAATTATAGCCGAGGACATAACAGAACCACTCACTTACCTAATCAACAAATGCTTTGAATTGGGCATATATATAATTTTAAAAAGGTAATATAATATCGATACATAAATCAGGAACAAAAACAGATGTTAACAACTATAGACCAATATCAATAATATCCAGTGTAGCAAAGGTTTTTGAAAAAGTTTTATCTACTAGAATGATTCGATACCTCACAAAATTCAAAATTTTAAGTGAAAATCAATATGGATTTAAAGAAGGGAAGGCTACATCGGACGCAATAACTAAAATTGTAAATCAAATACATCAAAATATTGATAACAGAATCCCTTCAATCTGCATTTTTGTTGATTTAAAGAAAGCTTTCGACACAGTTAATCACAAATTATTATTAGAAGCATTGGAGAGAATTGGTTTCAGAGGAAACGCGTACTCACTGATCGAAAGTTATTTGTCAAATCGCCCACAATCTGTGCAGATATCAGGATCATTTAGTAAAGAAATGTATATTAAATGTGATGTCCCACAAGGAACTGTCTTAGGTCCGCTGTTATTCAATATATATTTAAATGATATTTTCCAAATTAATTGTGTTGGCAAAATAACTAGTTTTGCAGATGATACTGCAATATTATATGAAGGCACTGACTGGTCTGATCTGAAAAATGTAATTGAAAATGATTTTATCAAAATTATTCGGTGGTTTAACAGTAGAAAATTAAGCATTAACTACTCTAAAACACATTTTTTACCATTTGGATCTTATGCTAGACATCTGCCAAATTACACAAATTTCTCCTTCAATATTAATGATCAAAAAATGCAAATTAATAGAGTGCCCAACATAAAATACCTTGGAGTGGTCTTGGATCCTCACTTACGATGGGACATCCATGTCAATTATATTTTAAAGAAAGTTAGATTTGTATCCTACAAAATTTTATATATATATTAGCATGGGGAGCTGCATGTTCCTCACATATCTATAATTTAGATGTTTTTCAAAAAAGTATTCTAAAAATGATATTTAAAAAACCGAAACTTTATCCCACTGAAAAATTATACGCAGATGTTCGAATGTATTATATAAGACAGCTTTATTTCTTACACAGTATCACTCACTACCATAAATTTGTAAATACCGACCAAAAAATTAAACATAATCATTATACCAGGTACAAAATTCGTGGCACAGTAGTTCCTCAACCACATAAATCTATAATGCAGCGATCATATCTCTATTTAGCGCCTAAATTTTATGAAATTATACCTAAAGACTTAAAAGATTTACGTTTCGGAAATTGTTTCAAAAGAAATTTAAAAAAGTGGCTACATTCTATATCTAGGACTGAAATTCATAAACTCATAAATACGAACATCAACTAAATACATAATCTACTGTAGCTAATTTTTGTCATTTTTTGTCATTTGCATTCTACAGTTTCAACTTAAATTTATTGGTCCATGTACAGGCGATGCCTTCTATTGGGCCTGTTTTGATTTTATGTTTAGTTACTCATATTGTTTGTTATCTTTGTACATTGAGTGAATAAATATTATTATTATTATTATTATTATTAAAAGCAATTAGACTGCTTATTTGATTTGCGGACTCGGTCTTGATTTGTGAATGGTCGACTTCGAACTTCTCACTTTTATTTGTGATTTCGCGATGCGTTATTATTTTACTATGATGGAGACGCAAAATTAATTTGAGAAGCTTTACCGACACGAAGATCCATATAGGTTCAGTTTGATGCTTTTCAGCTTTGTTTAATCAAGGTAACTCGTTTTTGACTCCGAACTAAAAACGTGTATAGTTTTTAAAATTTAGTAAGATGAATTGGCACAAATTTCAATTGTTATGTCAAATTGATGTGGGTATTCCATACATGTTAACTGTCTTAGGGTCTGATAGTTGCTGATGTCAACGAAAAACAAGGAAACGAAGCGGTTGAAAAGTTCAACAAGACCTATGGACCTAAGAAAGCGACGTTCATGAAGACTGATGTAACTAAAAAGGAACAGCTAGAAGGTTAGTTTATTGACATGTTTATACAATCGTTGGGTGCCAAGCTTCCACTGTTTTTGATTATCATACACAATCGGTCATGAGGATTTATGATTGGAAATCGCTAGAACGAATTCCATATAAATCAATAATATCAGCTAAAAGCTTTATCAGATTGTTTTCAGTCTATGTACCAGGCAACCAAATAAATTCGTGCGGATGCTAAATATCGCACATTGCCATGGATCTTGCTGATCGATAGCGATTGTTTATTACCTGTTGTCACTTTAGTATGAACCCTTCTTTTTTCACACACATAAAAAGTTGCTGAAAATTGTTACATACCTAGTTTGCTGTTAGTGATCGATCAAAACAGAAGTGGTTCAAAAAATTTGTTGTCACTTTAGTATGAATCTTTCATTTTTCACACACATAAAAAGTTGCTGAAAATTGTTACATACCTAGTTTGCTGTTAGTGATCGATCAAAACAGAAGTGGTTCAAAAAATTTGTTGTCACTTTAGTATGAATCTTTCATTTTTCACACACATAAAAAGTTGCTGAAAATTGTTACATACCTAGTTTGCTGTTAGTGATCGATCAAAACAGAAGTGGTTCAAAAAATTTGTTGTCACTTTAGTATGAAGCCTTCTTTTTTCATACACATAAAAAGTTGCTGAAAATTGTTACATACCTAGTTTGCTGTTAGTGATCGATCAAAACAGAAGTGGTTCAAAAAGTTTGTTGTCACTTTCGTATGAATCCTTCATTTTTCGTACACATAAAAAGTTGCTGAAAATTGTTACATACCTAGTTTGCTGTTAGTGATCGATCAAAACAGAAGTGGTTCAAAAAATTTGTTGTCACTTTAGTATGAATCTTTAATTTTTCGCACACATAAAGAGTTGCTGAAAATTGTTACATACCTAGTTTGCTGTTAGTGATCGATCAAAACAGAAGTGGTTGAAAAAATTTGTTGTCACTTTAGTATGAATCTTTCATTTTTCACACACATAAAAAGTTGCTGAAAATTGTTACATACCTAGTTTGCTGTTAGTGATCGATCAAAACAGAAGTGGTTCAAAAAATTTGATGTCACTTTAGTATCAATACTTCATTTTTCACACACATAAAACGTTGCTGAAAATTGTTACATACCTAGTTTGCTGTTAGTGATCGATCAAAACAGAAGTGGTTCAAAAAATTTGTTGTCACTTTAGTATGAATCTTTCATTTTTCACACACATAAAAAGTTGCTGAAAATTGTTACATACCTAGTTTGCTGTTAGTGATCGATCAAAACAGAAGTGGTTCAAAAAATTTGTTGTCACTTTAGTTTTGCTGTTAGTGATCGATCAAAACAGAAGTGGTTCAAAAAATTTGTTGTCACTTTAATATGAATCTTTCATTTTTCACACACATAAAAAGTTGCTGAAAATTGTTACATACCTAGTTTGCTGTTAGTGATCGATCAAAACAGAAGTGGTTCAAAAAATTTGATGTCACTTTAGTATGAATCTTTCATTTTTCACACACATAAAAAGTTGCTGAAAATTGTTACATACCTAGTTTGCTGTTAGTGATCGATCAAAACAGAAGTGGTTCAAAAAATTTGATGTCACTTTAGTATCAATACTTCATTTTTCACACACATAAAACGTTGCTGAAAATTGTTACATACCTAGTTTGCTGTTAGTGATCGATCAAAACAGAAGTGGTTCAAAAAATTTGTTGTCACTTTAGTATGAATCTTTCATTTTTCACACACATAAAAAGTTGCTGAAAATTGTTACATACCTAGTTTGCTGTTAGTGATCGATCAAAACAGAAGTGGTTCAAAAAATTTGATGTCACTTTAGTATCAATACTTCATTTTTCACACACATAAAACGTTGCTGAAAATTGTTACATACCTAGTTTGCTGTTAGTGATCGATCAAAACAGAAGTGGTTCAAAAAATTTGTTGTCACTTTAGTATGAATCTTTCATTTTTCACACACATAAAAAGTTGCTGAAAATTGTTACATACCTAGTTTGCTGTTAGTGATCGATCAAAACAGAAGTGGTTCAAAAATTTGTTGTCACTTTAGTTTTGCTGTTAGTGATCGATCAAAACAGAAGTGGTTCAAAAAATTTGTTGTCACTTTAGTATGAATCCTTCATTTTTCACACACATAAAAAGATGCTGAAATTTGTTACATACCTAGTTTGCTGTTAGTGATCGATCAAAACAGAAGTGGTTCAAAAAATTTGTTGTCACTTTAGTATGAATCCTTCATTTTTCACACACATAAAAAGTTGCTGAAAATTGTTACATACCTAGTTTGCTGTTAGTGATCGATCAAAACAGAAGTGGTTCAAAAATTTTGTTGTCACTTTAGTATGAATCCTTCATTTTTCACACACATAAAAAGTTGCTGAAAATTGTTACCTACCTAGTTTGCTGTTAGTGATCGATCAAAACAGAAGTGCTTCAAAAAATTTGTTGTCACTTTAGTTTTGCTGTTAGTGATCGATCAAAACAGAAGTGGTTAAAAAAATTTGTTGTCACTTTAGTATGAATCCTTCGTTTTTCACACACATAAAAAGTTGCTGAAAATTGTTACATACCTAGTTTGCTGTTAGTGATCGATCAAAACAGAAGTGGTTCAAAAATTTTGTTGTCACTTTAGTATGAATCCTTCATTTTTCACACACATAAAAAGTTGCTGAAAATTGTTACCTACCTAGTTTGCTGTTAGTGATCGATCAAAACAGAAGTGCTTCAAAAAATTTGTTGTCACTTTAGTTTTGCTGTTAGTGATCGATCAAAACAGAAGTGGTTCAAAAAATTTGTTGTCACTTTAGTATGAATCCTTCATTTTTCACACACATAAAACGTTGCTGAAAATTGTTACATACCTAGTTTGCTGTTAGTGATCGATCAAAACAGAAGTGGTTCAAAAAATTTGTTGTCACTTTAGTATGAATCCTTCGTGTTTCACACACATAAAAAGTTGCTGAAAATTGTTACATACCTAGTTTGCTGTTAGTGATCGATCAAAACAGAAGTGGTTCAAAAAATTTGTTGTCACTTTAGTATGAAGCCTTCTTTTTTCACACACATAAAAAGATGCTGAAAATTGTTACATACCTAGTTTGCTGTTAGTGATCGATCAAGACAGAAGTGGTTCAAAAAATTTGTTGTCACTTTAGAATGAATCCTTCATTTTTCACACACATAAAAAGTTGCTGAAAATTGTTACATACCTAGTTTGCTGTTAGTGATCGATCAAAACAGAAGTGGTTCAAAAAATTTGTTGTCACTTTAGTATGAATCCTTCTTTTTTCACACACATAAAAAGTTGCTGAAAATTGTTACTTACCTAGTTTGCTGTTAGTGATCGATCAAAACAGAAGTGGTTCAAAAAATTTGTTATCACTTTAGTATGAATGCTTCTTTTTTCACACACATAAAAGGTTGCTGAAAATTGTTACATACCTAGTTTGCTGTTAGTGATCGATCAAAACAGAAGTGGTTCAAAAAATTTTCTTCGGGAGATCTTAGTTTGAGCGATGAACCGCGCTCAAGGAGACCAAAAATCATGGACAACGAGGATCTTCGATAGGTTGAGGATGCAAGTTTCCTGAATAATGTGACAAGATCTTGCAGAAATGTTCAGAGTGAGTCCTGAAACTATTTGTTTGCATCTTCATCAGCTAGGAAAGCCGTGGAAGTTAAGCAAATGGGTCCCACATGAACTGACAAATGATAACAAATTAAGTCGTTTCAGTCATTTGTTCAGCAAACATTTCACGCAACGCTAATGAAACATTTCTTAATTGGTTATTAACCTGCGACGCAGAATGGATCTTGTATTCGAATTCTAAACGTGCCTATCATTGGTTGTCGCCTACTGATTCGGTACCACAAACACCCAGGGCTTCCTTGCCCCCAAACAAGGTTTTGTTGTGTGTTTGGTGGTCAGCAACTGGAATTGTCCATTATGAGTTTTTGGAAAGAGGTCAAACCATCACTGCTAACTTGTATTGTGAGCAGCTTCGACGAGTACAAGCAGCACTCATCCAGAAACAGCCTTCTTTGATCAATCGGAAAAAAGTGATGTACTTGCAGAATAACGCGAAACCTCATACCGCAAAAGTGACCCGAGAAAACATTTCTGAACTCGGCTGGGAAACGTTACTGCACCCGCCATATTCCCCCGACATTTCGCCCAGTGATTATCACCTTTTTTGTCTCTTGATAACTGTATGAGGTACCGACAGTTCACAACTCGAGATGGTGATAAATGAAGTCCGCCAATTTTTTTACTTCAAATCCAGGGTGTCCTACAACACCGGCATACAAAAATTGGTACCACGTTGACAAAAGGTCATTGAATGTGATGGTAATTACTTCGACGAATAAATAGTGTCTTATTGTTCCCCAATAAAAATTTATATATATTTTCCTACTAAAAACCGCACGACCTTATTTGGTTACCTGGTATAATAATGATATTACTCTACAAACTTGATTAAGATCATTAATTCTTAGTTATGTGATTTTAGTTTAGAAGGAATGATACAATAAAATCTGTAAGGTCGCTCAATACAGCATTTGCCTCGAAAAATATGGTTTTGGTCGAGATCTATGAATCACTATATGGAGAAAATTTACTTTAAACACTATTGGAACGTATTACTCCATTGAAATTTTAAATATATTTAAATTAGTCTGCTATTATCTTGTTTTTAAGACAGAGAAATCATAGAATAAGAGAATCACTCATTAAGATTAGCTTAATGCAAAAAGAAACAATTTTTAAAAAAATTTCTACATGACATTTTTTTCCACTAATGTCTTCAACTGTTGACAGGGTTTTGATAGAACACCACTTTGCCAAAATTGAAACACTTGTCCGTTAATATTATCATACTTCATTTTTCAGCGGCCTTTCAGTTAGCAAAGTCGACGTACAGTAAGCTGGACATTGTTATAAACAATGCTGGAATATTGAACGATGCCCATTGGGAGCTGGAAATTGCTATTAACTGCGTAAGTGATTAACTAATGAATTATTAAAAATAGGTGTTAGGCATGATGAATCGCAGTATATATATATATATAACTTGAGACGTGGTCATTGTCGTCTAGACCAGTTAGGTGAAAAATTAATGCTTCCGCCTTTTGTTGGGTACTTTGACAAATTTTTTTTTTTTTTTTGTCGAAGTACCCAACAAAAGGCGGAAGCTTTAATTTTTCACCTATATATATATATATATATATATATATATATATATATGCTACTAACCGTAGCAGTTTGTTTTTTTAATTTCACCTTATATTCGTAAATGTATGCTAGAAAATTGTGTCAAAATAATAAGCTAATACGTTTATAAAGACTGCAAAAATACCACTCTCATGTAGATCCTGGTTATTGCGGGAAAAAATGTTTGGTTTTCAGCTTCTTTTAGAACAAAACTGTGTCTAATCCTGAAAATTGCGAAGACAACGAGCGTATAAATACTGCCTGTATTTTTAGCTTGTCAAAAGGTATCAAACACCAATATAAAAGGATTTAATTTTCGATCAATCCGGTTGGGTTGAAACAGTAATTTTTTGTCAGTAGTTTCAAGAAAACATATGAATTTTTCACAAATCTTGTTCCAACTCGAGCGTCTTAGTTGTGAATACAGGCCTGTATCCACTTTCTAGCTCATGCTTTAGTTTCCTTTGAAAAAAGCATTTAATATGCGCTTATACGAGGGTTGTCTCATAAATATGGTTCCAAACGCTGTATTCTTGCCACGGGAGATACTAAACTGTATCCATCGAAGAAACAAAGTAAAATCAAACATATACACCCGTATTGCACGTGATCAAGAACTTAACCGTAGGAGACGCTACAGGGCCGTATCAAGCTATTGTGACTGATCTATCAAAAAATGTCGTACAAGATATGTGTTGCTGTAAATTCTATCAAAAGCATAGTAAATTATCAGGAATATACCACGCCTTTCTAATCATATTTCGACATTAGGAATCAGTGCAAAAAATTCTGTATTCACCATTTCAGCAAAATGTTACTAAAACGCACACGAAAAAAAACTTGTGGACCATCTCAATTGAAATTGTTCATATTTTATTATTAACTTACATATATACCCAATAATATTTACAAATCAACCTTCTATTCACAATGCAGAGCAAATTTTTTTGAGCAAATAAAAACTACAGACGTAGTAGTAGTAGTACAGAAGTTTATTACAGACTCCATAAAGTTTGTTAGTTTGATTGCTATTAAAATTTACATGAGAAATAGGAAGAAGGTCAAAATGGCACTATTATGCTTTGGAACTCCTAAATTAACCCTAATTTTGTGTAATTATAAATTTGGGATTTCCACATTAATAACTAGAAACTTACACTTTGATTGCAGTCTATAATGAACTTACCCGTCTTGCCAAAAAGCCCGTTAAACTGCCAGTCTTAATGGTATCAATCGATTTATATGCCTTATTCCGAGGAGCTTGAATCATCAGAATTGTTGATGTCAATTATAAGGGGTTCAACTTGGGTGTCAATGATATTGTCCATATCCCACATTTTGGTTTCAACCTTCTCTTGGACATGGTCAATACATGTTCTCCATTTTGCTGGCGTAATTCTATCGACAGCAACATCAAACAGTTTTTTAAGGTCAGAAAACTTAAAAGTGCTGTTATTTGACGCCACGTATTGCTTGATGTCGGCCCAAATCAACTCGATAGGATTCAGTTCGCAGTGATAGGGAGGCAGCCTGAGAATCGTTTTATTTTGGTTTTTGGCCATTTCGTCAACAATTTTTAAATCATATTTATACTTATGTCGCTTGACTATATTTATCAGCTCAGCTTTGACCATTGTTTGGTCGAAGTCGATCTTCTTTGAGACAAGCCACTGTTGAATGTCTGCCTTTTTGGTGCCATTGTTGGAATTTTTTCCAATTTTCTGGAGTGGTACGGGGCATTATCCATCACAATAATTGCGTTATTATCAAGTGTCGGCAAAATTTTTTTGAACCAATTTTCAAATGAGTTACCATCCATTTCTTCGTGATAGTCTCCAGCTTTTTTGGATTCAAATGCCCACAATGCTTCAGGAACAAATCCATCTACGCTACCTATGTGGCAAATGATCAGGCGTTTTCCCTTACCTGAAAGTAATTAGTTATTTTACTTCTCAGCGAGCGCACTAAATGACGAAATTATGCAACTTACTCCTTTTAGGTTAGTGTAGGATAGGGTCTTAGATTAGTTTTTGGGTGAAGGAAATACTCAGAAACTTGGATGAGATAGCAAAACTGAGTTCGGAGCTTCCAAATCATTGATTCGATCAGAAAATGAATTATCTGCATCCAAAAAAGTTCATATACTTCGAAACTTACCTGCAGGATTTTTCAATCCCGTCGAAAGGCCATCTAAAAAAGCCTGCCTTGAGGACCTCACAGATCTATCTACCCAAACCTTTCCCTGCGTATGCCCCGCGTTCACCCATGTTTCGTCTAAATAATAAATTTTTCTTCCTTCAGCGCGGAATTGCCTAATTTTTCTAAGGTATGCTCTCCTCCAGATAACAATTTCCTCCTTTTCTATCAATAAACTATTCCTTTCTCTTTTCAAAAATCGAAAGTCTAGTTCTTTCAACAGCTTATGGAACGTAGATCTTTTAATATTTGGCAGGTCCTCATCATCATTCACTTGCTTCAATATTTTATCTATTGTAGGTATTTCATTCCTGAAGAAAAAGTGATGTAGTTTTCTTCTAATGGCACTTTTGTCGAAGTCATCTATTTTTTCGATGATTTTTTTTCTCGCTGGATATGTTTTTGGTTCAGATAGTGAGTGATTTTGTCTATACGTATATTCCTTCAAGATTTTGTAAACACTTGATCGACCTGCTCCAGAAATTTCAGCAACCTTACATACGATATTTTCTATAGCCAATCCACTATTCTCTTGCATCTGGTTCTTGTAGATATTTAGAATAATTTGTTTTTCACCTGGGCTAAGATGAAGCTTTTTAGCCCTTTTGCTGGGTGGCGTTAAGCTGATTTCAACCACTTCATCAGCTGTATCTGTGTCAGACATTTTAGACTAATATTAAATTTCCGCAAGAAAAATCAAGTCAAGACGTGCATAAAACGTTCGCGCTCATAAACGGGTATCCGTAACTGATTACAATCCTGTGCGTGGTGACGAACCATCAACGTGACGCTGAGAGTTCCCTCTACTATGCAGCGTTGCCAGGCTTAATGTCACAATGATCATGTTTTATTGGGAAAATTGTCAGAAATCGCCGAATGTTGAACAGAAACATTACAAGAAGTCTAACCTTGAAATGTGAGGCTACAAATCGATATTCTTATAGGGGGGAAGGGTAGGGAGCTGTTATGGTTCCTATTAACCTTGGTGAAAGTTGGAAACGGTAATATCATATATGGCATACATTCGGTTGAAGGTGTGTGCACGGAAAATAGATTGCGGGTAAGATTTTAATAGATAAATCTGCACAAAAAAACACAAAAGGAGATTTTTGTATTTCCCTGAAGAATATCTCAAGGTTATTTCAGATGTACTCATCGAAACTTTATGGAAGGATTATCGAAACCTTATTTTCAATTGAGATAGGGCCACATACCTCGACATCGTATTAATGTGAAAAATAAGACAATAGAAAAAAATTCCCTCACTGATGCTATCTCTTAGGAAAAATTTAACTATAAAGATTGCACAAAAATTTTCTTCACCTTTTTGAGCTTGTTTTCGCATCTCCGTATATGCCGTTCATAATTTGCTGCAGATCAAATTGGAATATACCTTTGTGATGCCATTTATTGTTATATAATGTCCTTTACAACAGTTATTGCACGTATTGCACCAACAGATTGATTTGTGATCCATGCGAATGTAATCAACCACTCTGGCGAAAACTCGCCGAGCGTGGCAACCGTGCGACTTAGTCTGGAGGCTCGTCGCTACAAGCCAATCAGGAAGAGGCCGACAGAGCGCCATGGCTACCGATCACGCGTTGATCACGAATCAACCACTGTTTACGATTACTTTGTAGCTTCGTTAGATACACTTTAGGCGAAATCCAGCAACACCGTCGAGTTTTTTGGCTCCCCCACCACCGATCCCAACAATAAGCGTATATGTTTCACGTCTGAAAAAATGCGTAGAAAAAATGGCGACTATGGAGAAAAATAGCTTAAAGGTCAACGTTTCCAACGGTGAATTCGTTTTTTCAAATAAGGAATTCCTTGTGAATGAAAAAAATGTGAGAACCTTTGTTTTGAAACAACCCTCGTAGTATACAGGGTGTCCCGAAAAAAATGTGCAATATTCTACCAGCGGTTTCTAGAGCTTAAAACAGGAAGAAAAGTTTATATAAATATAGGTCTACAAACGTCCCCTAAGGGCGCTACGGTCTCTTAAAGGGGCTCCCCTGAAGAAGGTTTTTCCTTAATATTTCAGAAAAGTGTTGAGATAAAGAGATAAAATTTGGTACTCTAGTCTAGTTTTTTATGCTAGATTTAAAAATGTTAACAATTTTGGACAGTTTTGTTTGGAAGCGAATGTAACAGGGACGGACTCAGGTTATTTTAGCCCCAACATTTTTGTGTGATTCTATTTTTGAAATTAAATTTTAGAATATGAAAATTTAGGGTTTTCTACATAAAAAAGGTACTCTTATTGAATATCGATAAATTGTGCCATGTCTGAATAAAATCGAACTAAAAAATTTGACACATGATAGGAAATGTACTGCGAATTTAAATGAATTGTTGATTATGCATAGTTAGCCATGACCGCAAACAAAAGTTGTAATATAGTCCCTTTAAAAGACCCTTAGGCGACGTTTGTCGACCTAGGTTTTTATAAACTTTTCTTTTTATTTTAAGCACTGTAACCGCTGGTAGAATATTGCACACTGTTTTCGGGACACCCTGTATACAGCGCCCAAGGAATACGGCAAATTACCAGCAGAATACCAAATATCGGATTCTACAGGGTGGCCCATAAGTCCTTTGAGCTGGAAAAAAAGGAATAAAACCAAACTAGTTACATTATGAAGAATTACTATATTTTGTTATCATCTTTATTGAATGGGAATTATGTTTTAAAAATCACATCGTCTAAATGCAATCCATTACGATCACGGCACTCATATAAACGACGTCTAAAATTGTCGATGACTGCGCGGCAAGTCAACACTGTAATGCTTGCCATTTCTCTTCGGATATTTTCTTTCAGGACATCAACTGATCGCGGAGTGGTGTCGTACACTTTACTCTTGAGGTAGCCCTATAAAAAGAAGTCCATTGGGGTCAAATCTGGACTACGTGGTGGCCAGGAAATGTCTCTTCTTCGAAAAATTACTTTGCTGGGCAAAAGTTGACAGACGACGGGCATAGAAGTGTTGGAGGTGTGGGCAGTTGCTCCGTCCTGTTGAAACCAGGTCTGCGTATTATAGCCTGGAAAATTCTGCAACGCTGGTGTCAAAAACTCTTCTATCATTGCTACATACCGCTCCGAAGTAACAGTTAATGCGCGACCTCTGTCGTCCTCAAAAAAATAAGGGCCTACGATGCCATGCGCTGACATAGCAGCCCAAACTGTAACTTTAGGGCTGTGTAAGGGCTTCTGATGCTTACGCTTTGGATTTTCGGGGCTCCAATAACGGCAATTTTGTTTATTTACATGCCCGTTTAAATGGAAGTGAGCCTCGTCCGAGAACAACACATTATTGAGCGAATAAAATCGATTCAACATTTCATTCGCAAAGTTTAGTCTCTGAATAGCGTCATTATCTTTTAATTCCTGCACTAACAGAATTTTGTAAGCGTGCAGACGTAAATCTTTCCTTAAAATCCGCTGTAAAGATGTTCTGGGTACGTTTAGTGCACTGGAACGCTTACGAGTAGACTGGGTAGGATTTTGACGAACAGACTGTGCCACAATGTTGATGTTTTCTTCAATACGAGTTGTCCTTGGTCGACCCCACCGCTGTTTATCTAACGTCGAACCAGTCTCTTCGAACTTAGCAACCCAGTTCTTAATCGTTTGAGCTGTTGGACACTTTGTAAAATTGTGTAAATTGTGGTATTCTCGATATTTACGCCGCGCAATGGTTGCCGCATCATTATTTTGATAAAACGCGCGCACACAAAAAGCACGATCCGCTCCAGTGAAACACTCCATGGCGACTGAATTCCCAGACACTGAAGATACTGCCCCCACCTCGCCCGCGCCGCTTACGCTCACCCGTTAAATTTTATTCAAATTTGAAATTTCAAAGGACTTATGGACCACCCTGTATTTGAAAATGTTTCTGAAGCGAGGTTTGGAATAAATTTTGCGATTATATTTTTTTTTTCAATTGTTTGAGACTGCAATAACTGAATATGCAATTATGTTTGTAGAATGCTGTAGTGCAAGGTTCTCTACTAGGAATTCAGTACATGGGCAAAAATAATGGTAACAATGGAGGAATCATAGTTAATATTGCATCAATTTTAGGCCTTCAGAAACTTGAAGGTTGTCCGATCTATGTTGGAACAAAACATTTTGTGATCGGTCTGAATAGGTAAATCACTCTTACCATATCTCATTTTGATAATACAGAAAGCTACTTGAGAAAAAAAAGAGCTGTATATAGCATGTCTTAGGATAACATGTCAAACTCTCGTATGCATAAAAGAGCACAAAGTAGGACAGTACAGAGTGCCATCTATTACCAGAATCGACCGCTGCCAAAGTGTAAACAGCAAGCTGTTATTCCAATACTTTAGAGTATCGATACTTCCTAAAACGATAAGAATCGATACATAACGATACTTTTCGTGGATCTAAACATCCCTAATCTTGACAGCTTGTCGTTCTTGTCAACTGGGCTGCAGGGTGCGGTCTTGCCCTTACTATATTACATTTTGCTAAAATTTTATGACAAATAAAAGCTTCAAATGACATATTGACGGATATGCATAGAACTTAGAGTATAAGTTCATATTGCAAACATCAGATTGTCTATGCATGGTATTGAACCGGATTTTTCGGTATTTTTACCGAAAAGAGAATATTTACCGATAACATCATTCTCCACGATTTTTCAAAATAATTAAAATATTTCTATACTTGCCGAAAAAGATCTGAAACCAAAGATAAAGCTAAATGTTAATTTTATGTACTTCTTCACATGAGAGGCGTAAATTTGGGTTGCCTATGATTACGAAGGCACATCCTCATCCCTTACTCCGCTTGCCCTGAACTGATTTTGTGCATACAAAAGGTACAGACTGGTAGATTAGGGGTAAAACAGAAAAATATTCACAATCCTATAAGCAAGAATCGAAAAAGGAGTTTCTAGAATGGTTGCAAAGCAGTTTGAAAGAGCGATCAGTATGCACATAGTTGTAATATATGGAGTTGTCCAAAACAGACGCAGGAAAGTAAACGCATATTAAAACAAGAAAGATTGATATTCAAATCAAGTTGGGTACTTTATTTTGAAGGTTCATTTATACCATTTATGTATAAAAAATAATATCGCTCAAATGTTCACCACGACTGGATTTACAGACGTCCACGCGGTGGTCGAAATTTTCAATGACATTTTGCAACATGGTCGGTTCTATGGCATTTATCTCGGCAATGATGTTGTTTTTGAGTTCTTGGAGGGTGGCTGGTTTGTTGACGTAGACTTTGCTTTTCAAATATCCCCATAAAAAGAAGTCCAAGGGACTCAAATCGCACGATCTTGGTGGCCATGACACATTTCCTCTGCGCGAAATCACGCGATCACCGAAGAGGGACTGCAATCGATGGAAATTGACGTTGGTTGTGTGGCATGTTGCACCGTCTTGTTGGAAATAAACATCGTCCATATCCATTCCTTCAAGTTGCGGCAAAAAATAGTCCTCTATCATCATGTGATATCGCTCAGAATTGACGGTAACGGCGTCCCCGGCCGCATTTTAGAAAAAGTAAGGTCCGATGATGCCTTTTGACCACAATGCACACCACATAGTCACTTTTTGAGGATACATCTGCTGCTCTTGATATTCACGGGGATTTTCGTTCGCCCAGATGCGGCAGTTTTGCTTGTTTACCGTCCCATTCAAAGTGAAATGCGCTTCGTCGCTGAACATGATTTTTGATGAAAAATTGGCATCAATTTGGCGGTGTTCAAGGAGCCGATCTGAGAATGTTCGGCGCGAAAAATGGTCGGCCCGACGCAGCTCTTGCGTCAATTGGATCTTGTAGGCGTGTACATTCAAATTCTTGTGGAGAATGCGGAGCAAACTGGTTCTCGAAATGCCCAAATCTTGGGTTTAACGCGTTGTTGATTGTTTCGGATTGTCTCTCACACTCTCCTTCACAACAGCAATATTTTCCGGTCTGCGACCGCTCCTTGGCCGGCCGGAGCCTGACAGATTTGCCACAGAACCTGTTGCCTCGAATTTACGCACCAGACGACCGATGGTTGTTTCGTTTGGGCGGTTGTTGCGACCGAAATGTTCACGAAGCGCGCGAAACGTGTTTTTTATTTTTGCACCATTTTTGTAGTGCTCTTGAATAACTGTAATGCGGTCTTCAATCGAATACGACTCCATAGCGATCAATGGTAAACATTCAACTAACAAAATGACATGTCGGTGACAGAAAACAGAGATGGCGTCTATGTCAAATTGACGTTTACTTTCCTGCGTCCCTATTGGACAACCTTTAGAACTATGCCCTCAAAAAAAAAAACATGTGTGCGCGCCCAATACAACAACAGACGTTTTTCATGACTCAAAGGTCCTTGACCTACCACTGACCTTGGGACGGCATTTTCCTTATATCGAATTCAACGACATTATTTACCGATTCCTTTTGTTTTGCCGGTTCGGCAACACTGCAGATGTTCAGATCACTTTAAAAGCAATTGATATCCCAGACGTGTTATAATAATAGAAATGATAAGAAAATATAACAATGTTTGGAGATATATTTTCATAAATATGTACTTTTGATTCTGACTTATAATATCTAGACGATGAATAATAGATGGATGCGGATACTTTTATAAATATCGATGTTTTAGGACCCTGAAATGCAGAATGTGCTGTTTGTTTACATTTGGTGTGGATTTCTATATCATAAATTGTTTTTGATGTAACAAAAGATGATGAACCAGTTGGAATACGTTTTGTATCTTTCTTTTTGCAAAATAACAAAAAACAGTACATTTCTACAGCGTACGTATCACGTACAACACCCTGTACGTGATATACAGACAAAACTAGAATGCCATGCATGAACAGTCGTCAAAACCAGTGAAAATATCCTACCAAATATAATAGCTAGAAGATATGCCTACTATTTCTCTCATTTTCATTGGTGCATTCAAATAACTGACCATCTTTTCTGAAAAGATAAAAATTTGAAATTCTATGAGCAACAAAGCACAAAAACATCTATAATGTACCCTTATTTATAAGGCAACCGTTTTTACAGAATTTTATCCAACATTTCAATAAAAATCGCTGATATTCAGAGAGCTTTGACAGTTTTCTGTCAAATTGCATTTCGATAAGCTCTTTTCCTGTTGGTCCAACTGATCGTCAAACATTAATGTTGGTGAAATTGGCCCTTAGTATATAATCAACTACCTAATGATATCAAAACCTTGGTTGAAACTAGCTCTTTCGATAGACGTGTGCCAGAATTTCTTGGTAGAAAAACCTCATTATTCTGTTAATGACTTTGTATCGATTTTACCGTAATTTTGAGTTTCATTTTTATAATCTTATATCTTGTTAACAACTGTGACTTGTATTTGGACGTTTCATATCCGCGAGGCTGACATGAACAAAACTTCTTATTATTTAGGAACTTCGGCATCACTAAAATTTTCGTTCTTTCATATTGTTTTTCAGTATGGGAAATGGCATATTTTGCACCGTTGCATCGCTTATATCTCGAAAGCTAAATACTTTAAAGCAAATTTTTTTGGACAGAATATTCCAACAGACCAGAAACACTTTGACTAGAGCGGGATAGCCAATTCTTGGAATCTGTTAAAAACATTGTAAGAAAATGTTGACGCAAATGTGGGCCTGTTAACTCGCAGATTCGTTGAAGGGGGTCCTTTTTGAATTAGAGTAGGTAAGAAATCCCAATCAGATTATTTTTACCATCTGATGCGGATCTGCTATCTGGTGAACGTAGGACATTTTTACAGTTACTTAGGCATTATTGTTTTGTCTTATACAGGATGTTTTAGTTTATTGTTGCATAACTTTAAGATTCGATAGAACTTTTAAAATTAATGCATAAAGTCTATATAAACATGGGTCGAAAAATGCGTGGCTTCCGAAATACAGGGTGTTTAAATATACTTCATAAAACAGTTTTTTTTAAATATTTCGAACAATATTTGATGTATAACAGTGAAAATTGGTATACAAGGGTTTTTTGTTACGACAAAACGAACCATGGGCATAGTTTTACTGTAGCCGCTAGAGGGCGCTCTCTACTGTACCTGTAGTGTATTAAAATAACTGAAAATTTTTTTTTAGTGCAATTTTTGGCTTTTTGAATAAAAAAACTGATTCTTCGCACTTTTCAACATAAAAAAGCTCTCCTGTGAGTTTTCGTTATAGTTAGCCGTTTTTGAGATATTCCGATTTTTAAGGTTCGATGCATTTTATGGGAAAATTATATTTTTTTACATTTTCGATTTGGGCATTACAAGTAATTAAGATGATCGTTTAGATTGTGTTTTTAAACACAGCAATAATTCCTAACTCCAAAAAAAACAGAATATTAATTTGTTTAATTTTCTAATATTATTTTTAACAAATTAAATTAATTATTTACAACTAAAATGCTATTGGATAGTTAGGACAAACATACAAAATCTAAAGTAGTTGCTCGAAATGTAAACCCAATTATTCAATACACAATTCACATCTACGAATGATCGAACGTGGTATAGCATTATTCAAATAAGGCCTTATTTCATCACATGCATTCCTGATTCTGTCTATTAGCATATCTCTTGTGGTTACGGGAGTCTGGCACACTTTTTCTTTTAGAAATCCCCACACAAAGAAATCTAATGGATTTAGGTCAGGGGATCGTGGAGGCTAGGCGACTGGTCCTCCACGGCCGATCCATCTTTCTAGATAATTTTCGTCCAGCCAGTTTCTAACTATTCTCGAATAATGAGCTGGACAACCATCAAGCAGGAACCAGGCCAATCTTAAATCTAACCTAACATCATCCCACATATTTGCATGTTCAGCCTTTAAAAATTCCAAGAAGGTCGCAGCATTTAACCTTGCAGGCAAAAGGTAGGGTCCAAATAGTCGATTACGGTAGATACCAATCCACGCGTTCACACTAAATTCATGCTGAAAATTTCTTTCCCTAACTGCATGCGCATTTTGATGCGACCAAATGTGTTGATTATGAAAATTTACCACTCCACGTCTAGTGAAGCATCGGTCTATAAAACGTTACTTAAAAACTCTCATTATTATCAGTTCTATCAAGAATCCACTGACAAAATGTGATTCTTCGTTCTCCGTCCCCTGGCTGTAGTCCTTGCACTGAACACGGTGAACATGGCTTGCTGAAATTCCCAAGGCACCAGAAACTCTCCTAACACTTGTGGTCGGATCTCTATCAAACTCACGCAGAATCATACGGGTAAATCTGCGCTGACGAACGTTTATGTTTTGATCCCTTTGGAGATTTCCAAAACCATTTTCAATTATTTGGCGATGCACTCTTACAAATACTGAGCGAGTTGGATGTCGTCTGTTTGGAAATCTTCGTGCGTATTCTCTGGCTGCTTCTGCTGCGTTTCCATTTACAAAGCCGTACACAAAATGAATATCCGCTAACTCTTGATTGGAGAATAAAAATGGCATTTTTATAAAACTTGCAGAAAAAAATCAGGTAAAAGAAACTAAATTTCGTGCATTCACAATTGCAAAAAAAACGATTCAGGTTTCAACAGACAACAAACTAACTGTCAACTAATTGACGTTTAACCTTATTCTGCTTTCAATTTCAAAAATATTTGCAGGCTACTTCTAAAAATTATCGAGATACTGACTTTTTAACGTTATTTTATCATAAATAATTAAAAATGCATCGAACCTTAAAAATCGAAATATCTCAAAAACGGCTAACTATAACGAAAATTCACAAGAAAGCTTTTTTATGTTGAAAAGTGCGAAGAATCAGTTTTTTTATTCAAAAAGCAAAAAATTGCACTAAGAAAATTTTTTCGGTCATTTTAATACACTACAGGTACAGTAGAGAGCACCCTCTAGCGGATACAGTAAAACTATGTCCTTGGTTCGTTTTGTCGTACCAAAAAGCCCTTGTATACCAATTTTCACTGTTATACATCAAATATTGTTCGAAATATTAAAAAAAAACTATTTTAGAAAGTAAATTTAAACCCTGTATTTCGGAAGCCACGCATTTTTCGATCCACATTTATATAAACTTTACGCATTAATTTTAAAAGTTCTATCGAATCTTAAAGTTATGCAACAATAAACTGAAACACTCTGTATAAATATGCGTACCGGAAATTGACATATTATTCTTAGACACCTCTTTATAGTTATAAATATCTGCTTGGCCCACTTGATATTATCAAGTTAGGCAGCTTTCAATGTCTGTCAGACCTGACTCTGAAGTGTGGTCACTTCGATCTCAGATCACTAAAATGCTTTTTCAATATGTATTCTTGCTCACTTAATGTGTTAAGCCACACACACACACACAGAACAGAATCACTCATCTCCGGATTCACATTACATATCGAAATATTTAAGATACACATGCAGACTCATTTCGTGCTTCTTGGCAGGTCTTTTGGATCTCCATACTTCTACGATCTGACAGGAATCAGATTCTTAACGATGTGTCCTGGCGTAACCGATACACCATTAATCTCAGACGCGAACAAGTTCACCCTTAATGGTTTCCCAGGTCTAGGACAGAATTTGGCCGAGGGACTGGGTGACCTTCCACCGCAACCGTAAGTATGCGAGAGAGTTTTCGAAAATTTAGGACTGAAATGTCCATTTAAATGTACAAAATTCCGATATGAAAAAACAATGCTGGTGATGGAACTCGAAAGAAGAAATGTCTAATTGAAAATTCCTCGAATAAAAATAAATATGATTTTGGGATAAATCTGGTATGCGATACGAATAAATGTCTCATAACTTCAAGGCCTACCTAAGAAATTGTGCTCTTTTGAAATAACTGAGGTTTGGCAATGACTTTCCAGGTATATTTTGGGAAATTTTGATTTCTAGGGGGACGTCTTTCCATATATAGCCGTAAGATAAAATAATCTGATGCCTTATACTTCAGACTTTTAAACGCAAAACCCTCATTTTAATTTTTAAATTCTCCGTGAGGTTTTTAGTAACTTTGGTATAATAAAGCTTATACTTACCTTCAATCGTTGCGAAGCTACTTGAGTTTATAATGAAATTCTAGAAATAGTCAATATATACTAAGTGACATATAAATCCGAACACCCAGTTTAAATGGTTTTATTTTAATAACATTTTGTATAAGTACTTAATGAAGCATAATAAGTAAATGATAAAAATTTCAAAATGATTGCACTGCTTTAAAGCCCTTTGACCTTTAATAATGTGTGGATGCACCCTGATGTGCTACGCATTCTCCAACGCGCCTAGGCATGCTTCTGATCAGTTGGTCAATGTCCTCCTGTGGTATCTCATTCCAGGCAACCACCAACTCCTCTCGAAGTGCTTCTAGAGTCTGAGGAGGACGTTGCAAATTGAGCAATCTCCTACCCATCATATCCCACACGTGCTCAATTGGGGATAAGTCGTGAGATCTTGGTGGCCATGGTAACAATGTGACATGTCTTTCAACAAAAAACTGTGGATTCCTCCTTTCACCACGTCGCCTTCTAACCCTGGCACGACCATCGTCATGCCTAAACAAAATCGAGACTCGTCACTAAAGACAATACTGTTCCATTCCTGATCCCAGAGTGACCGTTGTCTGCACCACTCAAGGCGATTACGTCGGTGTTCTCGAGTTAAAGGGAGGACCCAGTGTGGCCGGTATGAAAACAAGCCAAAACTTCTCATTCGTCGGAAAACACTTCGCATGCCAATAGGTATTCCGTGTTCTGCAAACCATTCATTTGCGATGGACCTGGTAGTGGAGAAACGGTCCCTTAAGGCCAATAATCTTAGGCGGCGATCTTCACGGTCTGTTGTTCTACGGCGGCGTCCAGTGCCCCTTGCTCTTTGCGTACGGCCTTCTCGAAGCCATGCCTGACAACACCTAACCGCATTGTCTACACTTCTTTGCACTCTAACTGCAATTGCCCGAAAAGAAAGTCCAGCTTCCCGAAGTCCCACTATACGGCCGCTATCAAACTCACTAAGTTGACGAAATCGTACAATCGTACTCTAGGCATCGTAACCGATCGTAAAGGATGTCAAGAACCAAAATCCGCCAACGTTGATTCTTTACTGCGGCTGAAATATTCATTTTTAGAGCGTTAGTGAATTAAAAAAAAGCAGTATAAAAACCGGAATGTCCAACTGATAAGGCTGAACATTTTTTCACTTGTTATTTACAGTAAGATAAATACATTCACCAACTTTTATTAAAATAAAACCATTTAAACTGGGTGTTCGGATTTATATGTCACTTAGTATAGTTCCCATACTGACAAGACTTTACTTTAAATTATTAATATATAAATTATGGTATCACCCTCGTATATTTAGTGAACATTATTCCTGTATTTACTTTTTTTATGATTTGAATAATGTTTGAAGTGGTTCGTCGCCTATTTTATTTAATTTATATTACTGTTGCGAGGAATAAATGTAAGCCCTACAGCTGTAAGGAAATCGTGATATCTATTATTGGGCTCTGATATTATCATCTTTGTTGACACCTTTTTGCGATTCTAGGACAACCAATGTCGCCATTGGTCTGATCAAGATGATCAAGGATGGGGAGAATGGAAGCGTTTGGGTCTCTGAGGGAAATCAGCCAATCTATGAAGTGGAGATCCCAGACAGACTGACCTTGCGCAAGAAGTAATAATAGAGATATTTAATTATTGGTGAATAACATTATTTTTTTCCTAAAATCGGCACATATAAATATGGGTTCTGGTTTGGGTGTTCATTTCATGCATTTATTTTATATGTATACGTATATCGTTTTCATTGATATGATCTGTATTACTGTCTATGAAAGTGCTTTTATTGTACATGAATGTTGAGAAATAAAACGATAACACTATTCATTATTTGTTGTTGCTGTTGTTGCCCAGAAACCATACAATAACAATGATAAAGCGAAAGTGAAATTGAAGAAAAAAATGAGAAGAGCAAAGAAAAACAAGTGTATAAATTTAAGAGGAAACACCTAGGCTTTTCAACTTGGTACACGGATTAATTTTGAGGTGAACTAAAAACAAATTCTGATTCAGGTTTTGTTAGAGTATAATTTTGGGTTTACTAGAAGTGTGCTCATTTCTTTGTGGCCTTGAATGTTAACGAACTTGCTTCACTGTGTAGTCCACTGAGTCGCGCAGCAGTGGGTCGCTGTGCGATTCCGCTTGACTATAACGTTGCTGCTTCTGAAGCTTGACATAATCTCTCAAGTACGGAATGTCAAGGACTCTGTGTAGTGTCTCGTTCGAGACATACCATGTAGCGTTGCAGATTGTTCGTACAACTCTGCTTAGCAGTAAAATTGGTATACAAGTGTTTTTTGGTACGACAAAACGAACCATGGGCATAGTTTTACCGTAGCCGCCAGAGGGCGCTCTCTACAGTACCTGTAGTGTATTAAAATGACCGAACTTCTTTTCTTAGTGCAATTTTTTGCTTTTTGAATAAAAAAACTGATTTTTCGCACTTTTCAACATAAAAAACTCTGTTGTGAATTTTCGTTATAGTTACCCGTTTTTGAGATATTTCGATTTTTAAGGTTCAATGCATTTTTAATTATTTATGGGAAAATAACGTTAAAAGTATCTCGATAATTTTTAGAAGTAGGCTGTGCCTGCAAATATTTTTGAAATTGAAAGCAGAATAAGGTTATACGTCAATTAGTTGACAGTTAGTTTTGTTGTCTGTTGAAACCTGAAACGGTTTTTTGCAATTGTGAATGCACGAAATTTAGTTTCTTTTACCTGTTTTTTTTGTATGTTTTATGTAAATGCCATTTTTATTCTCCAACCAAGATTTAGCGGATATTCATTTTGTGTATGGGTTTGTAAATGGAAACGCAGCAGAAGCAGCCAGAGAATACGCACGAAGATTGCCAAACAGACGACATCCAAAATTTTGTCGGTCATCTTAATACACTACAGGTACAGTAGAGAGCACCCTCTAGCGGCTACAGTAAAACTATGGTTCGTTTTGTCATACCAAAAAACCCTAGTATACCAATTTTCACTGTTATACATCAAATATTGTTCGAAATATTTAAAAAAGACTATTTTAGAAAGTAAATTTAAACACCCTGTATTTCGGAAGCCACGCACTTTTCGACCCATGTTTATATAGACTTTATGCATTAATTTTAAAAGTTCTATCGAATCTTAAAGTTATGCAACAATAAACTGAAACACCCTGTATAATCTAAATGTCGAATATTACAAATAAAAGACGTTAATTATTGTTATTATTAATTTCCGTCTACCGAAACCTCGGCTAGGAGGTCGCGACCTCTTTTGGTACAATAAATCGTCGTCGTCGTCGAAAAAATTTATGTTGCATTCTTTTACTTCCCAGTTTCTTTTTTCGCTTTAGAGGATACCATTTGTTTGAATAAGGGTTGCTTGACCAGGTAGCCATGCAGTGTTCAGCAGCTATAGTGTGAAGAGGAAATGACAAGCCAGAGATAATCCAAAGGAAATATCGAATGGGGAGTATTACGTATTACCTAGGAAAGACTAGGTTCCAAGCCTTGCATTGATTGTTAACAAATAGGTGACTTAAGGTTTTTGGTGAAAACAGCTTCAGCGTCTTATTACGATTTGCTAATCTGCAGGTATTTTTCAACTAGAAGCTCCGCTGATGTTTAACGTGGAATCTCACAAGATTTCAGTGATGTTTGTTTGTTTGTTTCAGATTTATTTAGCAACAGTGCTACAATATCCATGTTACACGGTATATCACAAAATATATTATGTCTTCAGGACTACATATTTTTATACAAAATTTCACCACTATGAATTCTGGTTTTTCATGAGATATTTTTTCAATTTCTCTTTGAACATTTTCAAACTGACACACATCTTGATACCATTACTTAATTTTTTAAATTGGTACAATCCATTTTGAAATACTGACTTGCTCGTTATATTGCTACTGCAGTTTTGTAAATGAAAGTCTATACTTCCTCTAGTAGAATAATTGTGGCACTAATTGTTCAATACAATAAAATTTTCCAAGTGATTTGGTTGAAGATGACTTTTTTACTTGAATATGAAAATGAAAACCAAATTTTTTATATTCAACCATTGTAGTTCTTTCACCATAAAATTTATTCTAGTATATTTTGTTTTGTTTGTGTTAAGTTCAAGCTTATTTACATTTAACCAATTTATTACGTTTTTCATATCATTATTTAACAGTATTGCAGTTTCAATGTCTTTATTTGATATACAGGGTGGCACATCGAAAACGAAACAGACGCATTTATTGGCAGCTCAATTTTTCTTGGAAAACACACAAGTTTGGCAAAAAATCACGTTAGCACGTGCAGCCCCCTGGGCGGGGGTGACACCACCCCCAAAATCTTAAATGGAAAAGGCGGTCGAGTGATACCTTATATTAAAGGTCTTTCAATTCCATTTATAATGATATAAAATTAATGTACTTCAGTTCAGTAGTTTTGAAGATTTATTGATTTAAAGCTTAAATAAAATTAATACATCATCATTAGTGGAGCAAAGTGGCAGCAAAGTAATTTAAAAATGAAGAATGAACTGACCCGTTAGGCAAGTAAATGTTGAAAATGTCCACCATGACTCTCCATGCAATAATAAAGATTTTGCTCAAAAAGTTGCCGCACATTTTGCAATATCTGAGGAGTAATTTGAAGGCACTCATTCGCAATTCTTTGTCGCACGTCTTCTAATGATCTTCGCTGAGTAGCATAGATTTTATTTTTTAAATGACCCCACATCCAAAGGTGATAAATCTGGCGATCTTGGGGGCCATTCAACTTCTTTGCATCGATATTTCGCCTCCGTTCTTCTACTACCATTTGAATTGCTGATTCAGTAGAATACTTTTTTCTGTATCCTGTTTGAAATTTTGTCAATATCTTACTTTCTTCAATATATTCGTTGACTTGTTCATGTATGACTCCTTCTAAGAGCTTCTCGACATCTGGCAGTACATTAACTGGCCGCATGTTTGCATCTAACTCAGAATTTTGCACTTTTGGAACAGGAGTAATTGTAGAACATTTTAACTTTGAAGGAAATTCGCCATACACTAAACTTTCTAACGAGACAATCTTCAGAGGGAGAATCGCTCATTGGCTTACTAGGACGAAACTCCCTGTAACGCCTGTTTGTTTAGCGTACATAAATATACGAACTGCTCGTCATAAATATGTCAATCAAACTGTCATCCATATCGCTGTAGAACTTTTCAGGAATGACATGTACAAAATTTTAGTACTTTGGGTGTTATAATGGCTTTGGGGCTAAATTGTCGGTGTCGTGGTAAATTCTTGTTCAGCAGAGTGAACAATCCATGCCGTGTTGGCTATCAGAGGTAAGTGGAAATTAAATATTAAAACAGATTTGAAATGCAAGCATGTCTGATGGGCTCGGCCCGGGTTTTGACAAATTTCATTGGCAGGAGAAGATTTTAAACATACTTGTAGGACATTAAGAAACGATTGATGTTTTAGTTTCTACCACTTTTACCTATAAAAGATGATTTCATGATTAAAAATGCTACCACTATCGACATTACAGTTGGAGGTGTATACAGCTCCGAAAAAAAGATGCGGCTGAAGTTCCGATCGATCACGCTCTGATCGAAACGGTAAAAAGGCAGCAGTGACGAAAATTTGCCATTACCACTTCTACTGACGTAATTTGGGTCCAAATAAACATAAATCGATGCGGTTTTCACGTAGTTCGATTGTATTACGGGCTTTCTATGTACTGTAAGAGTTTTATCTCCCTCCTCCAAAATATTCCTCAAAGTGAGGAGAAACGCGAAATATTGATATTACATTAAAATAAACCTGGAGAAATGCGGTTTTCACGTCAATTGATTAGAAAAAGCATATTTTACTTACGCTAAGTTCAAATCCGTGCTATCTCGTTCACAGATACCTCTAATGGACCCTCCTTTAAAACCTAATATTTTAGAAGCTATATAATCATCTATAGCTTTTCAAAACCGCCCAAGACCAAAATGTTTTGGACACTTCTCGCATGAATATGATCTAGTCAATCACACCATATCAGCCGTTTCCCCAAACCAAGTCCGGAACCCTCCGTTTTTGACCCCTCTTTATTTATACATGACAAATTTGAAAAAATCTATTATTCGTCAAAACAGCCGAAGACCCAAAATTTTTTTACATTTCTGGCATCAATATAATCTACCTTATCACTCCCTACTAGCCGTTTCCCCAAACCAAGTCCGGAACCCTCCGTTTTTGACCCCTCTTTATTTATACACGACAAATTTGAAAAAATCTATTATTCGTCAAAACAGCCGAAGACCCTAAATTTTTTTACATTTCTGGCATCAATATAATCTACCTTATCACTCCCTACTAGCCGTTTCCCCAAACCAAGTCCGGAACCCTCCGTTTTTGACCCCTCTTTATTTATACATGACCAAGTTGAAAAAATCTATTATTCGTCAAAACAGCCGAAGACCCAAAATTTTTTTACATTTCTGGCATCAATATAATCTACCTTATCACTCCCTACTAGCCGTTTCCCCAAACCAAGTCCGGAACCCTCCGTTTTTGACCCCTCTTTATTTATACATGACAAATTTGAAAAAATCTATTATTCGTCAAAACAGCCGAAGCCCCAAAATTTTTTCACATTTCTGGCATAAATATAATCTACCTTATCACTCCCTACTAGCCGTTTCCCCAAACCAAGTCCGGAACCCTCCGTTTTTGACCCCACTTTATTTATACATGAAAAAATTTGAAAAAATCTATTATTCGTCAAAACAGCCGAAGACCCAAAATTTTTTTACATTTCTGGCATCAATATAATCTACCTTATCACTCTCTACTAGC